ATGATCGCTTGCTCTGCCATGCCCTCCGACCTCGCCCTTCCACTGTCTCATCCCACTCCTGCCAAGCTGGCTTCCTCCCTGCTCCTCTGTGCACTTGCCTGAGCTGCGGCCTCCTCCAGGGAAGCTCTGCGGTGGAGGTTAGGTCTGAGCTGAGCCCAGCAGCGTGAGTAGGTGTATTTAGCCTAAGAAAGTAGGAAGGTGAGGGGAGAGAAAAGATGTGACACACAGCATGAGAATGCACGGCTTATTCAGGGACTCAGAGGAAACCAGTATGGTGGTGTTCCTAAGAAAGAAACGGAGTGGAAAATGGCAGGGGAGGAGTGGGAGAGGTGGGCAAAAGCTGCTTTATGCAGGAACTGGGAGGCGTATCAGGCCGTTTGGATTTTCTCCTGAGGGCAATGGGGAGCTATGGAAGAGTTTATTTGCTCTTTATGTTTTTTAATTTTAATTTTTAAAGTTTTTTTTTAGAGGCAAGGTCTTGCAACATTATCCATGCTGGTCTCAAACTCCTAGCCTCAAGCGATACTCTGGCCTCGGCCTCCCAAAGTGCTGGGATTACAGGTGTGAGCTACCACGTCTGGCTGGAAGGATTTTGAACAAAGAAATAACACATTTGGGGCCAGGTGTAGTGGCTCACACCTGTAATCCCACTACCTTGGGAGGCCAAGGCAAACAGATCACTGGAGTCCAGGAGTTTAGGACCAGCCTGGGCAAGATGTTGAAACCATTACTCCAAAAAATACAAAAATTAGCCAGGCGTGGTGGAGCGCACCCATAGTCCCAGCTACTAAGGAGGCTGAGGCAGGAGGATCCCTTGAGTCCAGGAGGTGGAGGCTGCAGTGAGCTGAGATTGTGCCACCGTACTCCAGCCTGGGTGATAGAATGAAACTCTGTATCAAAAGGAAGGAAGGAAGGAAGGAAGGAAGGAAGGAAGGAAGGAAGGAGGGAGAGAAAGAAAGAGAAAGAAAGAAAGAAACAAAGTAAGAGAGAGAGAAAGAAAGTAAGAAAGAAAGAAAGAAGAAAAGAAA